ATATGCAATTACACACTTTAAAATAAGCCTCCATGTCTTTAATTAAAATCTTACATTCATGAAGTTAAGTCCTGTGGTTCATTTCATAGCTAATGCTAAGCTCCTCGGTGTTTAAGTGACCCTGAAGATTAATAAATCAGCATATTAGCTGTAAATTACAGTGGATTATTTCCTGTTTCTGCCAACTGATCCATCTGGATTAGACCCTGTAAAAGTTCAGCTAGAACTGTGTCCACTGATTTTTTAATGAACGAAATCACAATCCTGACATGTAAGAGCTTATTAAGCCCCGATGGGAAGTCAGATATACAGTCAATATAATAGGCACATCCCCTCCTCACATGTTGAGGATAACTCTGGCTGCCATGTCACTTGGTGGAAATGAACCATTTATATTCATGAAGATGGCAACACTCCTCTGAACTTCTGATCTAACAAAGCCTGAATTTTATCAGTCCACTTGTCCAACTTCCACTTGCATGCCAAGGTGAGCGAGCTGTGTGTAGGTAATGTGTGGGTAAAGCCTTTGTGGAGTAAGGCAGCTCCTTATTCCCACGTGGCACTCTACTGTGTAATAAATCTGGGTTATTCCACAGAGAAGAGAGTCGCAGCAGGATGTGTATCATGAGCAAATATGCAGGAGAACAGAATTACAGGAGTAGGCTTCAGAAGCTCCACCTGACAAGTAAGGGTATTTCACCACTATATAAAAGAGGTCCAGGGCAGAGGTCAGCACTGCAGGCTTGATCACTGCTTCACTGCTAGCTCGTTTCATCACTCTTCTAATTTTTCTCTGTTTTAAAGTCCTCTGCAAAGACACTTGGTCAGAGAGAAGGTGAAAATAGAAAGGAGACGAAAAGTGAGAAGTCCAAGGGCCGGTCCAGGAAACAATCAGTCATCTCATTTTTGGTGTTTCAGAAATCAGACTCTTGTCTCTTTCTAGCACAGGATTCTGGAGAAAGTCTTATCCTGCAAGCAGCCATGCCACCACAGATGTGGTGGAGTCCCCAAACACACATCAAACAGGCTGAGATGTGGAGCTGTGCATAATGAGTCTTGGCTTTTCTCAGAGATGGAAACAGTTTACTGGAGGTTCCCTGATTTGGAAGATACTCCCTGTGGCTATTTCCACCACAGGAGCACTTTCCTTACCTACAATTTGACACAAGAGGGACGACTCCTCATGATTTTCCTTCCGATGATAGATTTCTTTTGTGCATTTTTCCACAGAAAAGAATTATTGCAGTCATGAGTCCTGGCTGAAGTCCCAAAATCTCAACTATGTGGAACTGCCTGGAGTCATAATGCAATTACCCAGGCTGAGGTTCTTCGCTTTAAATGAGAGCTCAGATTTTGAATTAGGGAAATGTGTAAAATTCCTTTCTGGAGTCAAAATGAGAAGTGAACAGATATTAAGTGATTGGATGAGGAGTCCTGACTGAGGCTCTGTTCCCCAGGAGAGTTAAAACAATATAAACGTGTCATGGTTTAACCCCAGCTGGCAACTCAGCACCACGCAGCCGCTCGCTCACTCCCCCCACACTGGGATAGGGGAGGGAATCAGAAGAGTAAAAGTGAGAAAACTCATGGGTTGAGATAAAGACAGTTTAATAGGGAAAGCAAAAGCCATGCACACAAGCAAAGCAAAGCAAGGAATTCATTCACTGCTTCTCCAGGGAAGCAGAGCTCTGTCATGCATAATGGGTCCTTGGGAAGACAAACGCCATCACTCCGAACATCCCCCCCTTTCTTCTTCTTCTTCTTCCCCCAGTTTATAAGCTGAGCATGATGCCATATGGTCTGGAATAGCCCTTGGGCTATTTGGGGTCAGCTCTCCCAGCTGTGCCCCCTCCCTGCTTCTTGTGCCCCTGGCAGAGCAGGGGAAGCTGAGAAGTCCTTGACTGGTGTAAACACTACCCAGCAACAACTAAACCGTCAGTGAGTTATCAACATTCTTCTAGTACTGAATCCAAAACACAGCACTATGCCAGCTACTAGGAAGAAAATTAACTCTGTCCCAGCCAAAACCAGGACAACATGAATAGTCCGCTTGAACTTGATTTTTAAAATAGATAATGCGGAAATGTTTGAGGATGAACATTTCAGAAAAACAGATCAGACTATGGTCATAAATAGGGAGAACACAATGAGGGCTAGGAACTAATTCTTTTTCCTCTTACTTGCCAGTATCAAAATTCAGGATTCCCCCTCTGAACATCAGATCAATGTAATTAGTGTAATTCCCTGTCCTGCTTTATTATAGCCATCCCAAAGACCTACATATTGAACACATTTCCATAAAGTGTGTTTGAAGCTCATGGAAAGACAATATTTCATGGACATTGTACTCAGCCTTTTGAGAACGTGCCGTGCTGCATCTTTAATTCAATCAGGGAATATTAAAGGGATCATTAAAGACGTTGGCCCTTTGTTTTTCAATCAGTATGACCTCAGGCAGACTCCAATAGGTTTAGCATAACAGTAAGATATTAAGAAAAAAATATTATTATAACATCAGTGACCATTATAGAAAAACCTAATGAACCTGTCAAACTTATCATTAGTTTTAGACTCGCAGAATAAAGCATGACATTGGAGTGAACCATGGGCTGTATTATATCAGCAGAAATTATATGGTCCTCATCTTATCTGAATAACATAAAAAATGCTATTTAGTCTGCATAAACTTTCAGAAAGTCATAATATAACTTATTCCTAAATATATAATTTCTGTTCTTTTGCTGAACACTTACATTCTCAATGTCTAATATCAGTGAAACTGCAGCGAATAATTTCTGGATATGTAAGAAATGCATTTTCTTCACATAAAAAAATCCAAGCTATTTCTACTCCATTTGTTGAAAACAGTTTTTAAAAATACCAGAAAATATTCTTTGTTTCTATTCTGAGCAATACATAAACCTCCCCTAGTGAATGCTATGAAGAGGAAATGATTTCTACATTTGTAGAAAGTGTAAAGGTTGCCAACTAACATTTTGTGTACATCTCAAATTATTTATCCCACTGCAATCTTTTCTGACAACACGGTAATTGCTTCAATAATACAAAAACTAGAAAATAGCTTTTGCCACACAAATCTTAGTAGTACATAAAATAGAAAGAAGGGTCTAACTATTGAATAGAAAATGATATTATGAGGAATATATTTCTTCATAGAACAATTCTTTCAGTATTGAATTCAGAAGGTCATTTCACTTATTCCTGGAGATATTTTTTTTTTATTCTTTGTTACCTGAAAAGTTCCCTATATACTTTATACTTATTAGTAATACTCATTGTTGGTGAACACCATTTTGCATCACATCAGAAATGCTTCTTTTGTTTAGACGTCAACAAAAAAGAAGATCAAAAAGAGCTACAAACACTAAAACTCTGACATCAAAAAAGGATGAAAAATTTATACAAGAGAAAAATGGTAGGGCAGCAGTACCAGAACAATGCCTGCAAAATGATCAGAGAAAAGAGGGTAGCTAATGAGTCAAGACTGATATTAGGCATCTTACTGAGGCAGTTTGATCACTGAGAAAAAATGTATCATTTTTAACTCAGGCTGTTCCATAAGGAAACTCCTTTTCTGTAACGCTGTTCAATGAGCCCCAAAAAAATATTTTTTAGAAAGCTCTTTGATGTGCCTCCCTATAACATAAAAGCCAGGACCTCTGCCTGCCCTTCAGGAGCAGATCAACACATTAGAAATGTAATGAGGAACATTAGGCCAAGGAAGAAATCGCAGGCACTGTGACTGCGGGGAATGTGAATTCACCTTTCTGCTGAGCAAGTAAACTAGACCAGAATGGTGGAGAAATACCACTGCTGTGTGATTCCCTGTCTGTGTTCAAGGCTTGTCTCCACAGCTTGTCTTGAGCAAATTTTCAGTAATATTTAGTTAATAAAGCAAAAGATCCAAAACATTCCTTAACACGTCTCATTTTCATATGTGACAATTTTTGGAGAATCTTCACTCCCAATGCACTAACTGGTGGTACAAACTGGTGGCATGCTCAATGGCCTGCCATGACATGTACATTTACTTGGATTACTTCCCAAACACCAAAAGAATTTGGACCTCTGTGAAGTGTTCAATGATATGAAAGTGGAAAGTAAAATATGTCTGTGGCAACACTCTTGGGCAGGTGTGGTATGTAAAGCATCCTGCAGCCCTAAGCCTACAGTGTGCACCCTGGCCATACCCCAGCAGCACTGGAGGACACCCACCCTGGCTGGAGGGCAGGGGGGATCCTCTGCTCCAGATGACCAGGAGGTCAGGACTGCAGTGTCCTACGAATAGCATGGAGATAGAAACATGGATGTAGTGCCAATAGTAACAACACAAGTAATCAGAAGGACAAGTCCTAAGCCTGCATCCCAGGCCTAAAACAGTAAATGCTTCACCGCAGAAAGAAGGTAGCATGCCCCATACACTGGTGTCTGTGACTTCAAGGACACAATAACATAGTCCTAAAATTTTATTTTACATAGCATTTCACTACAGCTCTGGGTATCACTTCTTACTTGGTATAACCCCGGAGCAGGACTGACTGAGCACCCTAGCAAGGTATCACTCATCCTGAGCTGACAGAATGGCACTAAAAAGCCAGGAAGAGAATGAATGCTCCATTTACTGCTGAAGTTAGGCTAATCAAGGGCTATGAAAGTGATGGGAGGAGAAAGGGGGGGCGAGGATGGGGGCATTTACAAATATTAACATTTTCTTTTAAATCACAGACAAGAGAATCTGTCACAGTTTGCTGTCCCCATCATCAGTGATGAGATATTGATGTAGCATGACACAAATAAAGAAATACAATAATAATAACCTCTTCATCTTGTTCAGTTTTTCATGTTCCCCATAAGTGTCAAACCTTCTTTTGAGTATTAAGGTAGAATAAAGGAAGTAAATGACAGTTTCAGATGGAGTGTTTTTGATAAATACAAGCTGTTACAGTGGAGGTTTATTGTTTCAATTTTTCTTAATACAGAACCAACCGCTGCTCCCATCGATGTCAAAGCTACAAGTTTGTCTGTATCAGAGATTCTTGTTGCGTGGAAACATATTAAAGAAAGTCTAGGAAGACCACAGGGATTTGAGGTATGAACACAGAATACCGTAATGAGAAGTCTTGTTGCTTTTGCTAGCATTGCATTCTGTTAACATGTGCAGTAGTGAAACTTCAATGGAAATTATGCTCGGTTTAGCATACATATGACTAGCTGTAGAATAACGGACACAGTTGTACCACCAGAACATCTTTTATTTATTTGTGCTTGAAAACTGTTCAACACCAGTTCTTATAACATCTCTTTGACACTTCAAAAAGAGCTAAAAAAACTGCAAGTGACCCAGCATGCCTCTTTCACAGGCTGGGAAAGATTAGGTATTGACTGTTTCCAGCTCTAAGTGACCAGTTCAAACTTGTTATTTACTGAGAGCAATCAGCACAGGGAAAGGAAAGAGCCTCTGCCGTCCATGTGCCCTCATCACGCAGTGGCTGGGGGACATCTGCTGGGCAGATAATAAAAGGTTGGATGTCAGGAAGGGAAGCAGCAGCCATACCACCCACAAATAAAGCTCTGCTCAAAGACAGCTCTTCCTGACTTGGGAAAGAGAGCCAGCCCTGGCAATGGACCTTCTCCCACTTTTGGATCCAGTTGTAGCTTTGGATCCAGCTTATAATCAAACTGAATTATTATAATAGATCTAAGACTAAACCCATCCTTTGGGGACACCACAACTCATCCCGACCTTGTGGTTCAGGCTATGCTGCTCCTCATGAAATAGCTCAGCTAGACACAATTTACAGATTTGGGGGTGCAGGTTATTTGACCTGCTTTAGTCCTTTAGAGAGAACTGACTCTTTCCTGATTCTCTACAGTAACAATGAAAAGAGGGTAAACGTAGATCTGGATCAGATACCAATGATATGGATGTCTAAAGACATCTTGTGAACTATTAGCACAGAGTGTCTCCCTGTCCAGACAAAACCTGGGGGATGGTGCCCATCACTGATGGTGTTAGTAAGGAAACACAGGTGCCCAGGCAGCACCGGAGCCACCACACTCTCCAGCACAGCCTCAGGCTGGATGGCCTTGACCAGGACAGCATGTTTACCCCACAGCTTGGACACAGTCAGTTAGTATTTTTGTACCAGATTTGCTGCAGCTTCTTGGTAGTTAGATACTCCTGTATTGCTCTCCGGCGCAGTCCAAGCAGGCTGCGACCATGATGTGTCCCCTCAGGTCTCTCATTTGTCCAGGTCGCTTTCCCATATATGTCGCCATGCAGAACTCTGCAAACTTTCTTGTACTTCATCCCCACCTCTTCCTTACGTTAAACTTGTTTTTACCTCTTTGCACGTGTCTTGCTTCATGCAGCAAAAGTGATACCTAACCGTTTTAACTTTAGAACTGCCATATATAAAGAGAACAAAACTGTACTTGATTGAGATGATATTCACCTTGCAAATGCTATCCCTCTCCACGTGGAAGTGTTCCATTTGCTACTAAGCTTTGTCTTCAATTTCCAGGCCAGTATTTTATCCTCTGAAATAACTTACTTACTGCACCCTGTCTTTTTCTCTTCAGAAAGCTGCTGTTTTGTTACACCCTCTCAGATATCTTGACGTCTTTTAAATTGCACCTACTATTTTTACTCTTATCCTCATTCCATCGATCACATTGATTCTCAAAACGTTCTATTAACTTTGGCTTACATATTTTAAAATAAAAAATAGATTTACTTTCTAAAAGTTAAAATGATTTCTCTAGAAACTTATTCTTTCATAACTTGAATGTATTTTGCATTTACCTGCTTGTCACATAACACTTCCCTTAGCTCTACAGAGGTGTCCCAGTGATACGTGGCTGTTAAAAGTAGGACAGTGGGCTTTCTTCGTATCAGAGGTGGCCTTCCTGTCTTGGAAACTGCTTAGACCCTTGGAGTTCAGCATACTCTGACCCCACCTGTAGCACTCTACTTCTCTCATGGACTTCTTAGGAATTAATTTGGAAATTGTTAATGATAGAGCAGGGGTTATAAACAGAGAACGTTATTCATAATTTGGCTCCTCACTATGCTGTACACCACTTTTAGGATTCTAACATGAAGATTACAAATTAAATATTTCAAGCCAGGGACCTGCAGTTGGCAGAACAAAAAAAAAAAGAAATAAATAAAAATACTTCACTGCTCCTTTCTACCTCATCCCATGAGGGAATTAGAGGAGCCTTTTGAGGTACTATTTTGACCTGGGGTGAGGAGGGTTTTCTGACAGGCAAATCTTTCAGGGAGTGATTTGCTCTTTTCTGTCCTCATTCCCAAAAAGAATTATGATCAGAGCAGCCCTTACTCAATAAACAGAAAAG